CTTTCCCTAATCCTGCTATGGCATTGGTGAATAATGAGGCCAGATTCAGAAAGGCAGGGCTCCTGGGTTGGGATGGGAGAAGGTTGTTGTGGATGGTTCTGTTCCTCACTGCTTATTGTCTCTGGATGGCAGAAGTCTCAACCCGGGCCCCTTCTGTCTACATTTACTCTCCTCATGTGGATGAGCTGGCCCTTCGGGAATCAGCCACTGTGACCTGCTTGGCCAAAGGCTTCCGCCCCAGTGACATCCTGGTGACATGGACCCAGCAGGACCAGCCCATGCCCCAGAAAGCCTTCATCAACATTGGCCCCTTCCAAGAAACCAGGGAGAAGGGAACAACCTACTTTATCTACAGCAAGCTCAGTGTCCCAGCATCACAGTGGCAGCGGGGAGACACGTTTGCCTGTGTGGTGGGCCACGAAGGTTTCCCGATGACCTTTGTCCACAGGAGTGTGGACAAATCCTCTGGTAAACCTACTGCTGTCAATGTCTCTGTGATCTTGTCTGATACTGATGTCAGCTGCTACTAAGAAGGCAGAGCCCTGCAAGTCTTGTGTGTCTGCAGTGCCTTGTAGCCTGTATGTAAAGCAGAAGGAGCTCACGTGGAAGAAGCTTGGCCATATATGTTGTATGTCTAAATAAAATGGAGACTTCTTGGAATGTGTCTTCGTTGGGGTGTCTTCTTTCGGTAGGAAACAAAACTCTTGGGTTAGCGGCAATATCTTTTATTAGACCAACTAAATAGTAGCAAAAAAAAATAAATCTTTCTTTGCAAGCTTTTGGGTCCAAACACCCTTTGTCAGGTTGAGGAGAATTCAAAGATTGTAAAAGTTATCCCAGGTAGAAAAGAAACTTCGTTTTGCACAGGGGAGGTAGAGGGTGGGAGTTTTTCCCCCCTGCGTTTCACAGAGCCCTTTTGTGAGAGGGGTGCTCTTTGATATGCAGATTAGGCAGGCTTCTGTCCTGGAGGTATCCGATGTCAGGCAGGGAGGTGAAAATTTCTTCTTTCTTGGTTAGCAATGAAGGTGACATTTCCAACTGGCTAAATACATTATCTTCCATGTTTCAGGGATATATGTTGTAGCTGTGTTGGTAGGCTCTGTCTCTGGATTACAGTTCTCTGGGCTTTGGTGGACATCATTGGTTTAAAAATTCCTAGATGCCAAAGGGATTAAAGAAAGGTGAGGCTTTGTTTGTGATCATATATAATTGGGATAGCTGTTGGACAAGCTTTTGGGCATCAGATGTCCTTCCTCAGATCTCTAGGATAAAAGGAATTAAAGATAATTTGGGTGCCCAGAGCAGGCAGCTTTGACTACCTACAGGAATTCTTTGATTCCAAGCTTCAAGTGGCTTATTTAAACTAGGTGAGCCTGTCCTGGTAAGACACAGCCCAGACATCCAGAGACCCTTGCCTGAAAACCACAATTTATGTTTGAAGGCATGTGTGACTTTTAGAATGAAACTCCCTGTATTAGTACAGGTTGGGTTTCAAGGGGAGTTAGAAAAGTCTTGGATTTATGTCTCTGGATGGGTGGAATATCCACCACATCTTGGGGATGGAGGTTGCTCTTTCTATTGCATTCACTCTTCTTGTTGTTTTGTGTTTATGCAGTGCCTAGCAGTGCCTTGATCCATGAACTGTAGCCTTAAGTTCTACCAAAATAGACACAAATAGAAATTGGTAGGCAAAATGAGTCTTTGGTGGGGCAAGAGCACTTTGGTGTTAGGTACCGGGGTTTGGTCAGGGTGGCCTAATGGTTAGGCCATTGAGGAAGGGCAGGGGCCAGGGGCTGGGTCAGAATTCAGAAGCCAAGTTACCAGGTTTGGAGGGAGAACCAGGGACAGAGTCCAGTATGTAAGCCAGGGTCAGGATCCAGAAAACGAGCTACCAAGTTACCGTGGTAGACGGACAATCCATAAGGCAAAGTCTGCCTGATGGGTCAAGCCAGGGGTCAGAATTCATAAAAATCAATAGCCAAGCTACCAAGCCAAAGGGGTAGTCCATAGAGAGAAGTCCAAACACTGAATCAAGCCCAGGGGTCAGGAACCAGGGACCAGGTTTGTAGAGGAAATCCACGGCTGGAGTCCAGGGAAAAACTGAAGCCAGAGTCAGGGCCCAGGAAAACCAGAGAGAGCAGAAATCAAGAGGCTTGCCATAGCAGATGGAGTCAAAACTGTTGACTGGCTTGGAAATCTATGGCTCCAGCTGGGTCTAAATGAGAGGTGGACAAAATGGTGAATCCGGCTGGCAGCCAGACTCCATTTCCCAGCAGTCCCTAACCATGCAGCTCCTGGCTGATCTGCATCGAGACCCCAGGACTGGTGGGGCCATGACAGCATGGGGCTGTGACAGCACAGGGCTGCAGACCTGGTGCTCTGCCCCGGCCCTGGCCCCGTGCTCTCAGGGTCTTCATGGAGACTGGTCAGCTGGGAGCTGATCAGGCAGGGTGCATGGCTGGGCAAGGAGCTGCTCTGGGGCTGGGATCTTGAGGCTGTGACAGTGTGAGGCCACAGCAGAGCCATGATCCACTTCCTACATGCCCCTGTCTGTGGAACCACACTCAGTGCAGGGGTGTATGGGCAGATGATCATGGCTCTTCCCTGGTCCCAGCTCTACAATGTCACTGCCCCAAGATCCCAGGGTCTCTCCAGCCCCGCCTGCCTGTCTCACTCCTGCCTGCGGCTCCAGGGTTCAGCTGTGAACCCTACCCACGTGGGTCCCACTCCCGCCGGTGGGCACAGAGCAGACAGGTTGGGGTGCCCAGGGGCTGGGTCCAGTGGCAGCAGCCAGAAAGAGCTTCTGCCATGGGAGCTGCCAAATTGAGCCCACTGCAGGTGTGATCCAGCCTGCAGCCCAGACTTTGCCCACCCCTGGTCTAAATGGATAGGTGATGCTCCTGGTAGCCAGTCAGGATGCTCAGTGTCCCTAAACTGGGACAGAGTTCATTAGCTGGTGACTCAATGCAGGTGTGGCTACTTAGGTACTTGGCCCAGGATGGCTTGCCTGATCAGGGCTCCTGGCAGTCAGAAGTCATGTCAGTTTTTGGGACTTGCCCACTCTTTTATGGCACTAGGAATCTTAGTAAATGAAATTAATAAAAGAAAAATGTTTGTCCTCACCCTCTTCACCAGTGGGAGAACTGAGGTCCAGAAAGACCATGAGTGGATTCATGAAAGCAATCAAAAGGACATGTTTGCCTAACCTCTGTTTATTTTCAGCTAAAGTAGGAACTACCAAGATGAATAAATGGTTTAATCCCAAACCCATGGGAATTTCAAAGTCAGAGAATATTCCTTATTCCATGGGGGTCACAGAGTTCCTTATATTCAATTAATCCAGGAGATGACTCAGCTGGTTCCTGAGTAGAGGATGCTTTAATCTAGCAGCTAAAGGCAGAAGAGGATCCAATATATGGGAGCTGCAGCTGGAATAGTTCCCGTTAGGAATAAGGTACAGTGAGGGACATTAACAATGAAACTAATTACAGTAGTTGTGGACTCTCCATCACCTGAAGTTTTGCCATCAGGACTGAACAGATGTTTCTAGAAGCAATTCTCTAGCTCAGAAAGAGGGCTCAATAGTTGGGCAAAGTGCTTAAGCTTGTGTGATGAAGTAGTGCAGTTGAGGTGAGCACCAAATCTTCTTCTGGCCTTTTAATCTTGGTGTAAGCATGTTAGCACCAGAGGAAAGACCAGAAATGAGATCACTCAAATCCTGCTCCAGTGGCAGGGCAGCTGCACCACTTTTCCCCATTTTCGCTGCCCTCTGAGTTGTATTTGCAAGCTCCCTTCTCCCATTTCAGCTGGAAGTCTGATAGCATGTGTGCACACAGTGGATGGGGCCTATGACATTTGCCCAATGAGGGGGACACCCAGACCACAGGATACATGGGTAGCTCATGGGTTCATGGGCTGTGGAGTCTTTTGGCTCTAGGGAACTTATTCCCAGTGCAGCCTGGGTTGGTAGCAAGGAAAAGTGGCTTGCACTGAACTGTATTGTGAGTGATGGGTCAGAGACAAGGGTAAGTCTTGGTTCAGTAGGTACAAACCCTTTCTGGACAAATGGCAGCATGCAAGGCAGGACTCAAGGGGATCTTGCTGGCTGTTGGGTTCAGATCTCTGCTATGGGAGGCATCTATGACCATTCTTGGTCTTAGAAACAGGTATTCTATCTGTCCTCACTAATCCAGTTGAAAGGCTCTTCCAGAATCTGATGTGAAAATTTCTTCTTAGACACTTTCTTCTCAATTTCAAGCCTTAGTGATAAGATTAGGCACATTTTTCCTTGAGCCAACTTTGCTCCTTAGCTTAAATAACTCCCCCTGCTGCTTCTTTACTTCCCTATCTCAGTAACTGGCCTGATATATTCCACAGTCACATTTGCCTTCTTTGAATGATCTGGGGAAGTGGGGGTCTGGCCATGGGAGGTTTTTCTTTCTTTGGGATTCTTGTTTAATGCAGTTACTGAAGTAATTTCCAACTGATGAGGGTGGAGCAGTCTCCAGCATGACACAATTGGGGGCATTTTCACATCAGTTCTAAGTTTTATGAGAACACAGGGCTTGTTAGGGAAGCCAGTAATTGGAGGGATTGATGTTTTTTACCCTTTAGGAAGGGTTTATTGCAGTATCATAGTGCTTAGGGTCAGAAGGGACCTAAGCAGATCATCAGGTCCGACCCCCTGCCCCGGGCAGGAATGGGTCATATTACCCCAGCCAAATATCTATCCAGCCTCCTCTTGAGCACCAGCCTCCTCTTGAGCACCACCTCCCTTGGGATCCCATTGCAGAGCCTGGTAGCCCTAACTGTAATGTAATGGCTCCTGATGTCCAGCCTGAACTTTCTCTCTAACAATTTGTGGGCATATTATGGGTGGGCTGGGGTTTGGTTTTGGGCAATGGAGGTTGTGGGTTCCAGTGATCCCATTATAATGTGTACTATGGTATTGTATGGAGGACTCAACTGAGTTCAGAAATATGATGTGTCCTGGGAGGTGCCTCACATATAGTGCCCATTTCATGCAATCAGCGCTGCCGTTTGTGTGAGATTAATTTTTGGTGATCTCAGGCCATGTTTCCTGGGATAAGGAGCTGAGGTCACAAATATGAGGACCGCTAGAGACACTGGATCCCTGCTTGACACTAGGGGTGTCTCTACATGTGCTCTGGCGTAGAGGTTGGGGGTGGGATATGTGCTTTAATTAGAGCAGCTCCACCTGGGCACAGAGCCACAGCATCATGTGTATTCAGTGTCCCATGATTCAAAATGGTGGCAGGGGTGTTTTAACTAAAGCTCATTCAAAGAGCTTTAGTTAAACTGCCCCCACTGCCATTTTGAAATGTGGGGATGCTGAATACATGTGAGGCAGAGGCTGCTGGAGTGCATTAATTAGCACACTCCAGCAGACTTGATTAACTGAGTCTACTCCAACACATGCTAATTAGCATGTGTTGGAGTAGTGGTCCATCATGTGTATAGGTGCCCTAGGGAATTGGTCCCAGTGTGACCCAGGATGTCAGTGACTGGGAAATTGCTGCCATTTGGTGGGTACTCGTGGCTCCATTGAGTGACACACTGGTTTCTCTCAGCTCAGTTCCTTTTCCGATACTTTGCTGGGTTGGGGTAGGGGTAGCTT